GGCCAGGCTGCATTTGAACCCACCACCTTAGGTGTATGTGGCTGGCGCCTTAACCACTTAAGCCACGGGCGCCGAGCCTAAACTGATTTTGTATGTGAATGAAAGCAGGCTAATTCTTACAGGATACACAAACCACGCTCCTGGGATTACAGAGGGCCAACAAGGACACTTTCTACTCTTCCGTGTATCTTAGATTATTTGTTTTTTTAAAAAGTTATGTAAATGCGTTAATTTTGTAATGTTTAGAAAAAACAAAGCTGTACTAATTTTGAAAAAAGGTAAACTGTGATGTTGCTTGGTCACATTCTCAGTATTCCTGTGCAGTGTATAAATATAACTTTTTAGGTGGTGTATGCACACATGCACGAGTTTCATCAGTCAAATACTTTTCTATGATCTTTAAATTGAGAGTGCCAAAAAAAGTTGAGAGATTTCCTAGCTCTGTACAGGAAATACTCTTTTACAAAAGTAGGAGATGTGGGTGGCAGAAATAGGAATAAAAAAGATACACCATGGACAGTGCAACCAACTAACTATTACAAAGTAGCACTCATTACTAATAAAGAATGATTATTAGAAGAACCATTGTGGCAAAACTTATTTTATCAGCCACACACAGTGGTGATCCTTAGGGATGGTTGTTGTGATCTTTGTTGTAACATAAAATGGATCACTGAGAAGTGGTTGAGATCCTCACTATGTGAGTGGTTTGTTACATGAAAGCAAAGGACGTCTCAGACGCAGTGGTGAGGCACTATTATTTTATAGTGTTTATGGAGCACATTGATGAGATCAATTTAGTGAGGAAAGGCAAAGTGTCATTAAGATGGTCTGAGAGGTTCTCCGATTTAATGTATGAGAGTGATGGAAATAGACCATTTTAGGAAGCTGTCCACCAAACTCATCACTGAAGCTTTCTGTTTGACCTTCAGCAAAGTCAGATTCTCAGAATAAATTCTAAAGTGCTATGGAGGGGAGAGAGAGAAGGAGAGGAAGAGGAAGGGAGAGAAAAAGAGAGGGAACGAGACAGAAGGAGAGGGAGGGAGAAAGAGAGAGAAAAAGCCAGTGTACCTTAATGCATATATATAAATAATCCTGAAAATAATCTTAGTACAGTTCTTCGGGTCTAACATTTCAAGAAACACTACCTTTTGCCTTTGATTTGACAAAATTAACTAGCCTATTTGAGGAAGTTCCCTTTATATCACTGACACACAGCAGATTACCTGATATGTCAGGGGACACAATGGCACAATTTTGCCCTCTGCACGGTTGGAAGGATGGTGGCCTCCCTACCTGGCTCTGGAGTATTTGTATCTGATATCCATCTTCAAGTCTGTAGTTCAGTACTTTTTTTCCCCCAGCTCATTGGTCATGGTGGGGTCTGAAGAAGGCGATTCTTCAGCTGCAACTTGTCTCCTTCTAGGACTTTAACTGTCATTTTTAGTCATGCATGATGATATCCCACAAGGAGAGAAGGAGCTTCCATGGCTCACACCCAGTGGCTCTTAGCACCTGATCGATCACTGTACTTCCAGCTACAGTGTCACGAGTGAATATTTGTCCTGAATCCCCAGAGGTGAACCTGGCCATTTTAAATCCAAGGAGGTCATTTGAGAAACAACTGCTGCTTGGCCTCCTCCTGTCATGGGTGTTTCCTCTCCTCTCTGAAGAAAGGTGTGCTGGCAGAAAGAACCAAAGTCCTTTGCCTGGCTGTGGGCAAATGTATGAGTCAAGAACATGACCCAGGATTTTGGGTCCACTCTGGAAAATGTAGAGGCTCATCTTGTTTTCAAGAGGATGGCAGGGCTGTAGGTGTTTTTTGACTTCTTCAGTGAAAGAAAAGATAGCAACAACTGTGTCAGACTTACTACTCTTAGAGAGGCTCTGCCCCTAAGATTTACATATTGGGTGCTGTGGTTTCTGGTTCATCCTGCCCTGGGGATGGGCCCTTTGAGCTCTGTCCTGGAACTCCCTTCCATTCCCACATGCCTACTTGGCACCTAGTCCTGTGTCCTTGCTCACCTTACAGCAGAGAAGCTCAATATGGGTAATTACTGTGGTCAGGCCAGCTCTGGCTGCAGCTGTGAAATCAATGAGATCAGGCTTGGGTTTTCAGACTCCCAGATGCCCTGATTATCCTGGCTGAGGCTAGAGTTCCCAACCTGGGAGGGAGAAGAGAAAGAGGGCTGGTTCACAGAAACAACCGACCAACATGATTGAAACAAGGAGTAATTTGGACTTTTAAGTTCAATTTAATGTGTCTTTCCCCCACTCTCTCAAAATTCCTTTTGCAATGACAGCAAAAATATAAAATTGAGAGTAAATTTATTTTGTGGTTGAAGATTTATGAAAGGTCCCATTAGAAGAAGGAAAACACTTTGGACAGAGATTTAAAGCCTGGAATTAGGATAGGTGTGGTGGCTCACACCTGTAATCCTAGCACTCTGGCTGTTGAGGTGGGTGGACCGCTTGAGTTCACGAGTTTGAGAGCAGCCCGAACAAGAGCAAGACCCTGTCTCTACTAAAAATAGAAAAACTGAGGCAAGAGGATCACTTGAGCCC